GACCTGCTCTGGACACCCAAGGGGCAGCGGAGGGGTGGGCTGGCACCCAGGCCCTGTGCAGAGACAGGTCCCAGAACCTTGTGAGTGAAAGGAGGGCAGGGGAGGGGCCGGACCGGCGCTGGCAGAAGGGTTTGGGCTCCTTGGCATGGGGGGGAAGGTTTAGTTAAATATAAGTGGTGTTTATTGAAGGAGACACGGAGGGGGCCCTACCTCAGCCTCCCCTGTGTGTGGCAGGAGACGACCCCCAGTGGACAGGAGGGCAGTGGGGTCCCCGCTGACTCCAGCCCCCGCCAACAGCCGGGGAACTCGGCCCCCCCGGCCCCGTCTCTGTGGAGGGGGACGGGCGACCTCTGAGGCCAGAGTGATTCCCCGTGGACAGGACCCCAGACTGGGGGAGCCGGCTGGTGCACACGGCGCTGAGGGCTCAGCCGGGCGGGAGCCCCCTCAGCCGCCCGGGCCCTGCTGAGCCGGCACTCCTGTGCCGCCCCTTAGCACCGGGAACCCTAAGAACGGGGTTCCAGCCCCAGCTGGCCCCATCGACACAGTGTGGCCTCAGGCAGGGCTCCCATCCCCCGAGGCGCCCCTGTCTCCCCTGCCAGCTTTCCACAACGCTCTGCAGGCGAACTGGCATCTGGGCCCCGTGCCCCAGAAACAAAGCCTGAGGGGGGATTCTGGTGCCGGCGGGTTATTGAGGGGAGGCCCCGGGAGAGGGGCGGGAGCTCGGCAGGGAGGGGCTCTGGGCTGGAGCGAGCATCCCAGCACGCCTGTGGGCCCAACGGAGGCAGAGAGCGCCGGTCATTGGCTGCGGGCTGTCCAGGCCGGGAACAGGGAGACGGAGGGGCAGTTCCTTGGGCAGCTGTGCACTTTGTGGCCACTGCTGGCCACCACAGGGGGCTGGCAGTGCCAACCAAGAAAGGCGGGGCCGGTCAGGGGACCAGCATCCTCCGTGACAAGGCGTCTACCTCAGCCACACGTGCCAGCAAGTGCTCGCCAGACAGAAGCTGGAAAAACAGAAATTTCTGTTTTTCCGTAGAAGCGGATTTATTTGCATCCTACACACCAGAAATGGATCCGGGGAGGGGCCAGGCGTTCAGGGTGGTCCTGGGAGGCGTGCCAACGGCAGGAGCACCTGTGGAACTGGCAGTTTACACGCCATCCGTTTTTGCGCCGTTTGTATTTTAGCCGTTTTCCTTGAAGGCTTAACACGCGTTGCACTTGGTGATGTGTGGCCAATCAGATCGTTGTTAAGCCTCCCAGTCAAGGGATTCAGAATCGCTTGGAGACTTTTCCTAGTTACTGAGCTCAGATTCCTTCAAGAAGGTCGGCCGCGACCTGAAGGCCCCCAGGGCTGGTTTCCTGTTTCATTTATACCTTCTGGGAAACTGAGGCCCGGGGGCTCCAGGGCATGGCTGAGGTCACAGGGCGCGGCGCTGCCAAGGGGCTGCAGGGGAGGTGGGAGCGTCTTCCAAGCCCTCTCCTTCCCACCCCCACTCGCTGGCTCTCCTTCCAGAACCTGGTCATGTTCATGAGCGACTTTGTGGACTGGGTCATCCCGGACATCCCGAAAGACATCAGCCAGCAGATCCACAAGGAGAAGGTCCTGATGGTGGAGCTGTTCATGAGGGAGGAGCAGGGGAAGCGGCAGCTGCTGGACACGTGGATGGACACGAGCCGCACGCCGGCCGGGCCGTGCGGCAATCACAGCCCCCCCGCCCGCCCTGACAGCCCTGACAGCCCGGGGGGCGCCCCGTAGCGGCCGGCAGCCCCGGCCACACACACCCTCTCCCGGGGCAGGCGGCGTCTTGCACCCACCTGGCCCGGTGGCTCCTGTGTTTGTTGCAAACCTGGAAGACCACCTTCTGATAGGACAACATTTTTTCCATCTTTTCCTGGTTTTTTTTTCCCTTGTTTTTGCACAAAACCGTTATGCAGGGAATTCTGTTATCTTTAGTATTCAAGGTTAATCAAAATGATCGCTGGGGACGGGGTGACACACAGTGAGTGCAGGCACTTTGCAGAAGCAATGCTCGAAGTCTGGGGTCTCCTTGGTGGTGGGATGTGAGCAGTGACCCCCCCAGAAGTCATCTTCTTTAATCCTTCTGATGCCTTAAGGGAGACGCAAGGTGGCACGCCAAGGCATGGGCCGAGCTGGCGGGATATGTGAGGGAGAACGGGGAAATGGGTAAGGAGTAAACGAGGTGGACACCAGTTCCGAAAGGCGTCACCTGCCCCTAGGTCGGAAAAGTGAGACTTTTTATCACCTTTTCCTTCCATGGGTGCAGAAACCGAGACACTGCTCAGAAAGAAGGGCTCCCTGGCTCCGTCCACTCAGAGGGCCTGGGAGCTTCAAAGTTACTCTTGGAGACCTAGCGGGATGCTGGTGTCCTGAGTGTAACAGTGACAGCCACCTGCGGGGACCCCATCGTCCGCCACACGCCTCCCCCAGCACGAGGCAACAGGAAGCCGCGCGGTGAGCGACTCCGGCCTCCGAGGCTTTTCTCCTGGCGGCTTCAGGGTTTCAAGACGTCTTAAGGCTTTGGGGAGAACTTTTGCAGCTTCAGAATATTTATTGGGTTTTTGTAATCAATTCTACGGTGGATTTGAGGGGGTTTTTTTTCTGTAGCTCAAAGGTGGAAGGCATTTATTTTATTAGCTAACCAAATACCATTGAGAGGAATTTAAAATACGGTTACTACCAAAGATTTTTATTAACAAAGGCCTCTATTTTGATAATACCTCTTATATTTTTACTTACAGGAATGTTACTGTTGAACAATTATCATTTTAAAAGCTTGTAAAAAACACATCTCATAGGTGATAAGAATGATCTTATTTGCAGCCATTCTCCTAACTGACTGTCTGAAGTTTCTCAAGCACCCGGAGAAACATGAAAGGAACGTCTCACCGAAGGGAGGGAAGGAAACACAAGTGTTTGTCGTGAATGTGTGGTTGGTGAGACACTGACCTTCCTGTAAGCTGCCAACTAGGAGGGACGTCCGTAGGTGTCGTAGACTTTCGTTTTGGGCTAAAATCATGCAATCTGATGCTTCTCTTTTGTCTTGTACAGTAAGGAGTTGGAAATGGGGGGTTTTGTATATCAACACTGTACTCAAAATTAGGTGATGACCAGAAGATCCTTTTATGGAAACCATTTTTTTTAAAAACAGAATGTACTCAAATCCATAGAGGACCATGGCTGAACATTCATCTAAATAAATTTGTATACACAACACTTTCCTCTCAAACCCTGTCCGCGTGACTTTTGCCCGGGGAAGCTCGCGGGGCTGTCCCCAGAGCCCCGGGGCCGGAGCTGCAAATTCCGGAGGGACTCAGAGGTACCTGTGTCCTCAGTGCCAGACCCCTGACTTGTTCTAAAAGTTCCTGCAACTCCGTGTCTCTGCAAGTGTGTGCGTGTACACGTGCGTACATGTGTGTGCGCGTGGCTGCATGTGCACATCACGTGTGTGCAAGTGGTTGTGTCTCAGTGTGTGCGTGCTGGTACATGTATGTGTGCGTGTGTGTTGGACGGCAGTTGTGGTCACACCTTCCCAGCGGCCTCTTCCACGATCCCCGAACCCCAGCCCCTGGTCCCGCCAGCCCAGCAGAGTAGTATCTGGGATTTCGAGTTCCCCCCACACCTTTCGGGCACCATGCTTGGGTTGCCGGTGTTTTCATGTGAGCAAGTGGGGACGCTCTTTCTTGAATCCATCACCTATAATCACCACCATTTCATGAAGGAAAGAATATTTTTCACACCCAAACGTGCAGCCTGATGCTGGGGACATGTCTTCGGAGTCACTCTAAGGAGGCCTCGACCTGCCCACCTGCAGGGCCAAAGAGACCCTCGGACGCCCCCTAGTGCTGGTCTCCAAGGAAATGACAAACCCAAGTTCCCAAGCCCTGGCTACCCTGTATCAGGAACATTCTTCTTCAGCTTTGGAACCACTGCCTTAGCCCTGATGAGGGTAGCTGCCAGGATCTGCATCACCGGGACTCCTCCCCTCTCGTGGCCAGGGGCCAGTGAGAGCTCACCTGGGATCTTTAGTCTCACCAGACAGATGAGGAAACAGTCTCAGAGTTAGGGGAGGGGTGACTTGCCCCAGATCACCCATCAACTGGTCACCCAGAGTGTACAAGACATCCACTCTTGCAAATTCAAGAAGAAGCAGTGAGCAGAGCAGACACAGCCCCTTCCCTTGGGGGATGACTTCTTGCCCTGGAAAAGGCAGGCAGGTTCAGGCGACAGGATGCCTGTGCAAAGGCCCTGAGGCAGAGATGTGCTGGGTGAGTTGTAGGACCAGCAAGAAGTTCACCACGTCTGAAGAGGGGACAGTGCAAGGGGGCAGGGAAGAGGGAGCGCAAACCAACTGGAGCTTGGTGTAAGTCCACGGCAGGGGCTGGAGGTCTTAACCAGGACAGGGATGGATCTGAGTCACATTCTGAGGTCACGGCAGCTGTTGGGTGGAAACTGCAGTGGAGTAGGGCCAGAGAGGAGAGTTGCAGAAATTCAGGTGAGCCATGATGGGGCCTGGACGAGGGGGTTAGAGGTGGGGGGAGAAGAGCCAGCAGGTAACATCACAAACACATGGTATCTGGCTACAAAAGGACCCCCCAAGATGAGCTGGTCAGCCAGGGCCGTTATTTCACAGATGGACACAGGCAGGCCCAGAGAGGGCAGGGGCTCCTCTGTGGTCACACAGCAAGCTGGCTACACAGCGTCCTCAGACCCAGACCCCTGGTACCCAGCGCCAAACATTTCCTGCTCCTCGTCCCTGGATTGGTGCGGTGTGAGCCAGGCAGGGCTGGGCCCCTGGCACAGACAGTGAAGGACAGTGACCCACAGGGGGCCTGAGTCTGGGGCGGGGGCACCTGGCCGGCGCCTGGTACTGGGACTCCACCTGAGGGTGGGGGCTGCCGTGACAGCAGCCGGCCTAGGACACCTCTGTTCCATAGGCTCAGTGGTTATTAAATTTTTTAGTTAATTTAATATATAAAACCAGGCAAATACACCAGAAAAATCCAGATTTGCGTGTTCTCTTGAAAAATCACACTATCTGGTGAGACAGCCACATTTTTCACCACGTCGCAGCCACGCACTGACCGGAGCCCAGGGGCGGCTGCTCTTCTTTGGATGCTGCTGGTCCTTCTGGCCCATCCCAGTCCCTCAGCCCACCCTCCCAAACGTGCCCAGCTACGGGCGCCGTTGAGAGTGTGGCTGCTGGAGTCACTGGCCTTTCTAGGCAAGCCTCAGGCCCAGTCCCTGTCTTGGGATCCAGGACCAGCTGCGGGCTTCCCTGGAGCAGGGTGTGGCCGAGGTGTGCGCCTGAGACCGGGCCACAGGGCTGTCTCCACCCCGAGGCTGGACTCGGGGCCCCTGCCCCAGGGCGCCCACATCCCCCGCTCCCACACCCTCACCTGAAGGGTCCCAGGAGCCATTCACGTGCCCCCGAAAGTCACCCCACTACAGGTGGTGAGTGCCCCGCTCCTCAGCAGCACTCGTTCACCCGTCCATGTTTCGTAAAAGCCACAGCGAAGCAGAGGGGCGCTAGCACTTGCCAGGGAAGAGGACAGGAAGGGGCTGCGGCCAAGTGCCAGGCGGGGGGGGGCCTCTGGGGCGCTAAGCGAGCGAGTGAGTGAGCGAAGGGTGGGGGGAGATAGAGCGATGGATGGATGGATGGATGGATAGATGGATGGACAGATGGACATTTGCATGGATGGGTGGATGGATGGATGGATGGAGAGATGGTTGGCTGGAGAGATGGATGGTTGGATGGATGACAAAAAGACTGGCAACTGGGCCTTTCTGCCTTTGAGCTGAGTGGACCTCCTAGTCAAGTGGGGGGATGCTGGTGGAGGAGGTAAGGGGCCCATGGCAGGTAAGTTCTGGTGCCATCTGGACCACAGATACGCCCACAGCAAGCAGCCCACCCACTGCTCACTTGTAGCCTTTGGCAGAGAAGCGTGTGGCACAGATGTGTCTGACGCCTGACTTGGCCCGGCACAGGCATTTTAGCTTGATTTGCTCAGACGGGCTGGTGGGCGCTGCCCCGGCCAGGAGCCTGCCGGAACCCACCCCTGGGGAAAAGGCAACCTTGTAGATACTGAGGTCTGATTTCCAAAGTTCTGCCAGGTAATTTATTTAGCGTGTCCATTCTCACTCCCCTCTCTCCTCAACACCCCACTCCCATATTTTTAATTGAAGTACAACATACAGAAAACTACACATACCTTAAGTACACAATCAAATGCCACAAAACACGCACGCTTCTGGAGTCAGGACTCAGAAGCAGAGTGGGCACCCTGGAAGCCTCCTTGATGCTCCCTTC